CTCCCCCGTTATATAAGTCTGTGTGTGTGTGTTTTTTTTTTTTCTTCCAGTTGATGGATCTCCGGTCTCGATCACTCGAAAAACAAAGAATTTCGTAATAGCTCAAGAGAAAAACTTGTCGGAAAACTTACAAGTAGATGTGGAGATGCTGAGGAAGAAGCCAAGGAGGAGGATGCAGACAACGAGGGTGCCGTTGAGCTTCGCCATTAATGTGGGAGTGAGAAGCATTAACCAATGCAAATGGAAATATGTGAATTAGATACGGATGGGTATATTTAGATTAGCTAGGTGGATATATTATATAGAGAGATGGTAGATGTTGTATTTGATTAACTATGGAAATTGAGGTTTTGAAGGGACGACGTTTCTTGTTGACTCTGACTGTATGGGCGTGTTTGGTACGCATTTGACTTATTTTGGAAACGGTACATTAATTAATGATAATAAAGGACAACCTGACACTAACTTGACTTAAAGTCGATGTAACATAATAAGCTTTGAATAATTCATGCTCATAATTATATTTGAGAGAACCGTGTCAACGAATGTAATTCAATGAGTATATGATCATATTTTTCTAATGATAGTGTATTAGTAGTGTCCCAGTTTAATTAAAAAATCCAACTTACTCCAACGCAAAGCCTCAGAGTTAGAATTTCCAAAAAAAATAAAAAATAAAAAATAAAAAATTTCCGTGAAATTCGTAAGCACAATTGACACATAGACCATAAGCGGGGTCTGTGTTTGTTCTTAGGTCTGTCCATCCGGCCCGGCCCGGAAAACCGGGCCCGGGCAAAACCGGAGCCCGGACCCAGGCCGGGTTTTTTGGTTTTTTTTTTATTTTTTAAATTTTTTTTAAACTTTTAACAATCTCTTTAAAATTTAAAATATACATAAAAAATTATAGAAAATTATAGAAAATAAAAATAAAAATAAAAATAATCATATTATTAATAACTTAAAATGACATAAATTACAAATACAAAAAATTATAAAAATATAAGATAATAAAAATAACTTCTTTATTAATAATCAGTAAATCTTTTACAAGTATAAATTTATTTCGGAATTCGTCGCATCACAGTAAATGAGTACATCCTAACTAGGTTGAAACCTACTCACCTATATCACTATTATTTGTAACTATTTTTAAAATAATTCATTACAAATTTAAAGCTAAGAAATAAAAATTATAATTTGATGAATATTGTTTAATCTTTATATCTACCTGCTAGTCCAAACTCTTCAAATTTATCTTCAATTACAGTCATCCGATCGATGTCTTGCGTTCACTTCTCGTACCTCCACCAATCTTGTAAGCACATAACCGCTTGTACATTATATGGATCTAAGCATGTTCTGTGGTCGTCAATCAAACGTCCTGCTGTGTTGAAGTGGGATTCCAAAGCTACCGTCGAAACCTACATTGTTAGTAAGTCACGAACCATAGTGGAAAGTATAGAATATGAAACTGATCCATATACTCTGCACCATTGCAAAATATCTAAAGCATTTCCTTAACATTTAACTAAAGAAGCAGATAAATATTCATCTATTTCAGAAACCTCTAACGATGATCCAAGTCCAGACTCACCAGTTAGCTCAGCTACCATTGCATGTCTATCAAAACTTATACTTTTACCTCGGCTTGAGCTCGAAGACGCCGAAGCTGCAGACTGTTGTGCAGCTACACCATGTCTAGCTGCGTAGTTATCATATAAGGTTTGAAAATAATTTCTAATAGCTAAATGATGAGAAGTAGCAGTAATGTTGGATCCATCATCTAAGTCTATAACATGTCCACTATACAATGATTGTAATAAACTTCGAAGGTCAATATCCTTCAAACATGGATCAATAAGAACCCTCAAAAAAATATATGAGGAATAGACCTAAAATACTTATTAAATTTACTCTCTATTTAAAAAATTACACTTCCAAAAATATCATACATACGATATTTGTTAAATAATTTTTGAATATTTAAAATTTGTAAAGCAGCTAAAGTAATAGTTGGATAATAACAACCAGAGAATAACATAGTAACATCATAAAAAACTTGTAATATCTCATTTAAATTACATATAATTGTCTATTCATCTTCAGTTATTTCATAAGAGCTACCAGAGCTAGAACTAGAAGAAAAATAATTTATAAAATAATTTATAATTTCTTTATATTCTATAACTACACTTAACATTGCATAGGTGGAATTCCACCTATGGTCAATATCTTTTGGAATTAGTCTAACCTTAATATTTTTTTCTTTTACACATTTGTTTTCATCTTTTAAGTCTTTGTTCAGAAGCAGTATGCATATAAGCAACTGTTCTAACATTTTCTATCATGGGTTTAGTTTCAGTAAATGCACTTTGAACAATTAAATTTAAAATATAGCATATACATCTAATATGAAAAAGTTCACCATGACAGGGTAATGACAGAGTTATTTTGAGAAAATCTACAGCTACATTGTTATTACTTATATTATCTAGTGAAAGAAAAAATATTCTTTGATCAATTTCTAGTTTCTTAAGTTCTTCAACTATTAAATTGGCTACATTAATACCAGAATGTGACTTTTCAATTGTAATAAAAAAATAACTCTTTTAAATATTTGCTAATTTTTATCAATCCAGTGTGCTGTGATACATAAATAACATGTTTGTGCTCTAGATGTCCAAATATCAGAAGTTAATAAAAATTTACAGTTTAAAATTTTAAAATAAGAAATTATTTTTTCTTATTCCGTTTGATAATGTTTTAAAATGCCACGTTGACAGGTTTGATGAGAATTATTTTTAAAATCGGGATAAAAATCATCTCTAAACAAATCTTCAAATTCATCATCTTCTACTAATTTAAAAGGAATGTTTTTAAGAATGATAAACCTGATGACGCATTTCCTGGTTCGGGTAGCGTCATAATTCCAAGTACCAAGACTACCGGAAGAGGATGATTGAGAAATCATAGATTGTCGGATATCACCTTGAGAAGTCTGTCCTTTGATGTGTTTTTCTATATGGCGTTTGAGGTGGTTGGTGTCGCTCTTATAATGAGCTTCGAAAGTCCGGCCACACAACGCACATTTAGCCTTCTGGGTGAGGATCCTACCATGTTCATCCTTTGTGAACTCCACACATCTGATGTCGACCTTTTAGGATTGCTTGGTGCAGATTCGTCACCACCGGATTCGAGATTACAACTGATAGGATCGGTAGGAGGAGTAGCTGTTGTTGTAGGAGGACTCATTTCAATATCGGTAGGAGATAGATTTTCATAAGACTGGCAGTGGTTTCATATATTTGCCGAAGAT